CCCAGGACCCAATTAAGTGGATTTAGAGAAGAAACAATGTTTGAAATATTTGAAACCAGAAACCAGTCTGTAGAAATTCCTGCAATTACCACAGTGCTTGAATATAAATGAAATTCCAGAGGTTTTCCCATATTTGACTATAACCCTGAAGTTTATACTATATTATAAACAAGTTATATAAAGAAACCTCTTAAAACTATCAAAGAATTCTTTTAAATTCTGATCTATCATGCTGAAGACTTATCTTCTATTATCTTTCTATTCCTTATATAAAAAATATCACAAAACCATTGCCATATTAAAGGGGTGTGATGGTTAATTTCATGTGTCCATTTGGCTGGGCCATGGTGCCCTGCTCAAGCATTACTCTGGATGTTCCTATGAAGGAGTTTTGAATGAGATTAACATTGAAATCAGTGGACTTTAAGTAAAGCAGATTACCCTCCCTAGTGTGGGTGAGGCTTGTCTAATCAGTTGAAGGCCTTAATAGAACAAAGACTGACCTTCCTTGAATGAGGGGAATTCTGCCAGCAGACTGCCTTTGGACTCACACTGCAACTCTTCCCTGGGTCTTCAGCCTGCTGGCCTATCCAGTACATTTTGGACTTACCAGGCCTCCACAATTGCATGAGCCATTTCCTTAAATTTTCTCCATTTAGATAGATGATAGTTAAGTAGATAGATAGGTGATAGATGGATAGATAGATAGATAGACAGACAGGAATATCCTATTGGCTCTGTTTCTCTGGAAAACCCTGAAAAATACAATGGACAATAAAAAAAATGTTATACGCTAAAATAAGTCCCCACTACCCCTACCAAATTCAAATGTTGAAGCCTTAACCCCTTAGACCTCAAAATATGACTGTATTTGGAGATAGGATCTTTAAGGAGGGTATGAAGTTAAAAATAAGGTCTTCATTGGGGCGCCTGGGTGGCCCAGTCAGTTAAGCATCCAGCTTCAGCTCAGGTCTAGATCCTGTGGTTGGTGGGTTCAAGCCCGGCTTCGGGCTCTGCTGAACAACTCAGAGTCTGGAGCCTGCTTTGGATTCTGTGTCTCCCTCTCCCTCTGACCCTCCCTCGCTCACACTCTGTCTCTCTCTCAAGTAAACATTAAAAACAATTTTTTTTTAAATAAGGTATTTAAGGTGTGACCTAGTCCAATCTAGCTGGTATCTTTATAAGAAGAGGTAGGACACACATAGAAACAGCAGGGACTCCTGCACGTAGAGGGCCAGCCATCTGCAAGCCAGAGAGAGAGGCATCAGAGAAAACCACCCCACCACGACTGTGAGCTCGGACTTCCTGCATCCAGAACTGTAAGCTGTAGGAACTCTGAAAGAAAACAAACTTCCACTGTTTAAGCTACCAGTCTGTAGTACTTTCTCGGGGTAGATCCTAGAAAACAAACACAAAGTAGATCAGCAGTTAATTATTAAAACTAAAGTACAATTATCCTGAATTTATGATGTTCGTTGTACGTGCCGACTTTTAAAAATTTGTAATTTCTCATGACTTCTTTTCTCATTTTGAATGATTTTTCACTTTTGTACCACTTTTTTGTATTATTTTTCTTCAAAAGTGCCCCTCCCCACCCAAGGTAACTCCTCAGGCCCATGAAACCTGGCTGTCACACTGCTGAAACCACGTCTGCGTCCGTCACTGTTCCATTAATATCTTCGGTGTATTTCAAATTGTCATTATGTGAGGGGTTGGATGTGCTACCTAACCTTGAAGTCATCATTTTACAATATGTACATATATCAAGTTATTATGGTGTACATCTTAAACTTACACAATGTTATATGTCAACTATACCTCAATAAAGCTGAAAAAGTATCTTAGGCGTATTTCTACTAGCGCATTCCCACATCGCTGTAAAATGATGTGTCTACACCTCCGTTTGTGAACAGGCACTGGTCCTGACCCAGATCTGAATCTCCAGGAGTTAGCTGAATGCCTAGCACATGTAATAGATGCTCCAGAAATATCTGCCAAGTGAACGGGCAGATATTCAGACAGATGCACTAGCGAATATGGAAAAGTGAATTAAAAGTCTCCTGGTGTCTACAAATCTCAGCTTTAGTTTTACAGTTCAAGTTACAGACTATTCACATGGTATGAGCTCAACTGGGGAAAAACAATATCCTTAAGGATCTTCCACCTGCTGGATGCTGATGCAAACCTGAAACAAGGGCAAAGCCATCGAGGAGAACACTTAACCATTTACCGCCAGATAGAATTTCTGGTTAAGACGCACAGCTCAACTATAATAATCAAAACCAAAACTGCATGCAACTACTCTTCTCCCCCCTATATTTCTCTCCCCCACCCCCAAAATACCCTTGACAGTTTAGTATTGTGTTTGGATACATGCGTAGATACAAATGACCTAACAATTTATGTTTGAGGGGATAATGTGAGTGGGACGTATAAGGCTCAGCACTCTGCCAACTATGGAATGTTTCTTGCAAAGGTAAGACATTTAAGTCCGAGATACATGTTTGAAGCCCAAAATGTTTTCTGTGAAGATGCAGCTCTCAGTTATAATGAAAAGGACTTGTGTCAACAATTTTTAAATCATGCTCACTTAGGTACTCCTCCTTATTCAACATTTCTAATGCTCTCTTGTATCTTGAGAGATACAAATATGTGTATTAGGAAAGGGATATATATAAAGAGAGAATATGTAGTATATATATTAGGAATATATTAGTATATATATTAGAAATATATACAGCATTTCTATATATAGCATTATATATAGAAAATATATATTATATGTTAGGGGAATACATATAGCATTCCTGATATATACACTAATATATACACACACTAACATATATAGCTTATATATGTACGTATATATATATATGTACTAACATATATAGCTTATATATGTACTATATATATATATATATATATATATATATTAGGAAAGGCATTTCTGTAGTACAGTTCACTACACACAGGTGTGACACTACAGCCATCATCTCCATTAGAACTTCTTCAAACTGAATATGGTTCATTCTCACAAGAAAGGAAAAGCAATTTGTTTTCTCGTGTTTCAGGGATGAAAGGGAATTGTTTGTACTCAGCAACCTTTTCCACAATTGCCTCCCTCTCACTTCCTATTTCTTTCCACCTGTTACTCATCTGAGTTGGAGTATGAGAAAGTCCATCCTGTCCCTACCCAGTGTTCTGCTTCTTAATCTTTTTTGAACTACAGACTTACCTGAAAATCTATATTCTTCCCAGAAAAAAAAAAAAGAAGGCACAAACACAAATTGGTACAATGTTTTGCATGCAATTTTTTGGACGTTCATAGACCCCTTAATGGCATCCAAGGAGTCCCATCCAGAGACCCCAGGTAAGGAGCTCCTGCCCGTTGAGCAGTCCCTTGAGAAAGGCAAGGATGGGCTGATAGTGTAGTCCCTGCATGAGATGCAAAACCTCCAGGTATTACACCATGTATGTGAAGCTTTATTTAGGAAAAATTTTTCTTTTTTTTTCTTTTTTCTTTTTTTAGAAAGAGAGAGAGAGAGAGAGAGAGAGAGAGAGAGTGTGTGTG